TGGGGGGGGGGGGAGTTATTACTGCCAAAACAGAACAATGCAAAACTGCAAATACAGCTTCTCTGAATTAACTATGGGTGATCCTAATGCTTCAAAACTCCTAGTTTACTTTATAGTCTACAAACTTAAAAAAATATTAGTAATATAACATCACTGTTCAGATTCATGTTTTCCTCTGAACAGTTTTTTATGGTTATGGTAAACTGAAAAGGACAGCTGATGATTATTAATCACATATATTATCCTGGCTTATCTCAAGAGTTCACGTGTGCAACTATATTTCAGACCTGTAAATAAATTAGCATAATATTGTAATCAAGGGCTTTTTTCCAGGATACAAATGTACTATAATACATAGAACTCTTACATTTTACTTATGTACTATATCTATAGTTAATTTTTTCCTGGAAAAAATGGAATTTTGGATGATACTTTATAAAAAAAAAAAAATCTGCCTACAAAAATGTTTTAAATGCTACTATTTTCTTGGAAAATCTTTTTTTAAAGTGGGAAAAAAACCCAAACCAAAACAAACAAAACCCTGAAGAAAACAGATCAATTAAAGTGAGGGATATTTTTAAAAAAATGTCATCTTAAAGCTGTTTTGTATCACTGTTTTCAGCATTGTTATAACATTATTTCTAATACGATGTGTAAATCTGGCCCAGAGAAGGGCAATAACCACATGTTAATGTACAGTACAGCAGTAACTGTAAAACAGGGTTCCTTTGTGTGAGCCTCTGGTGTATATAGGAACTCATAAAGCAACAGCGTGTGGACATTCTTTCAGTGAATTGATTCCTTTGTACTAAAATCTCTAGTTTTCTAAGACTGTTCCATGTAAAAATGATTTATACATTTCTCCAAGGCTGTACATATCCAAAGACATGACACCAGGGGGAAAAAGGACTTATTATTTTTACCACAGATGTATCATCTTCTTTTTTCTTTTCTGTATATATCTGTACAACAAAACATAACTCTTGTAAAATTTCTACTGTGAGTTGTTTCTTGTGAGTTCCAGATTTGTTGATGTTTTAAAGGACATTTTAAGGAGAAGGAAATCCCCAAAGAAAAGCTGTTTCCATTTGAATCAATGTCCCATTTAAAAAAAAAAATCACTTGGCACCGGAAGCATTGTTTCCATGCCCTAAATATTTTTATAATTTAATGAAACCACATTGGAAAAAAACTATTTAATCTCTGTAATCATTGTTATTCACTTAATTAGATTGTGTGCTTCCACAAGTGTTTCAAGAGGTTATATTATACTATATAATGACACAAGGACCCCACGCATGTAGGGAGTGAAATCTGCCCCTGTGTGAGAGTGCCAGCACACTGTTTATCTACTCCTTTGTCCAGTTATAGCTTCCAGAATGATGGTGGGCCTCACAGTACATGGGTGAATTTCAACCAGAGAACATGAAGAAATGAACATGAGAACAGTGCACTAAAGCAATCCAGGGGTTAGATTTCCATGAGCAATTATTTTCATTCAGGCCACACAGTACAATGAAACTGTTTGAAAGACAATACTAACACCAGCAAGTCTATCTTTTCCTTTGTTTATACTGAATTTATATTGAGGCGTGGCTGTGGGGGTATGGCTGCCTACATGCCACATGCAGTCATCCCACCAGAATGCAGCCATGCACATTGCAGCCATGCACATGGAACCAATTGATTTTTTTGAACTTCTTTCCCAGATCCCCTCCAGATTAAAGTTAACTCACAGTCCCCCAACACCCCAGGATGCTTTGTACCTCCCCCATAGCCTCCCTCACAAGGTATATGGGCTAACTTTGGCCCAAGCTATCTCTTTCAGCTCAGTAGGGAGGTGTGTTCTAGCGCCCCCGAGCTTCCGGACTGAGCCACTGCAGGCTGTTGCTGCATTTCCAGAATCAAAAATGAATGCAAAGTGTTTGGAATGACTATGAACGCTGAGCACTCCATTGCTGAAACAAGACAATGTCACCAGCATTGCTGTATCTGAGGTGATCCACATTTGTGTAGGAAGACAAAGTTTTCCTCTTTGTTAAGTTTAATTTAATTCCCTGCCTCATTATCCTGTTACATCTGTATTAGGATCACTTAAAGGGCTTTCCTAACCTACCTTTTTCTCTGGAAAACTATAAAAGAGAATGCTTGAGATTTCCAAGTTTATTTCCAGACCAGAGAGGTTCAAATGAAATTTGGATAAGCTTTGTGTAAGTTGTGAATGTTTGGATCTTTACCCAAAACATTCATGTTCCTCTCTATGTTATGCTGGTGGTCATGTCATCTTTGGCATATAAAAAAAGAAGGATGCCTAAGCAATAAATTTTTCTTTCCTTTTTTCCTTCCCTGGAAATGTTGACTCCTGGCTACTGTAATTTTATATGATACAAATTTATATAGTATAATCTGTAACTTTCTGGATACAGGCTTCAGTTTAATTTAAACATTCTCTTATATGACATATTTGTTGTGCCATAACCTCAGCTGGTTGAAGTGGTGTAGTATTGTTGGCTTTGGTGGCAGTATGTTGATTTATACCAGCTGAGAATCAAAACTGTGGTCTTTAATTTATATAAGGGCTGTCCAGATGCCATAATCCTTCTTGGGATGGTCAGGATATTCAGGACACTCATGTTCAGAAGCACAGAAAAAATTTTAATCTGTCCTAGATAAATGCAAGTCTGTAGTTATCATGAACCACCTGTCAGTGCTTCCTCCATGTCAAGACCCCAGAATAAAATATCTAGGAAACCTGTTTAGTCCTTAAATAAAAACAATTGATTTTACAGTAAAGTAGCATGATTTCCTTTGTTAATAATCTTGTATAAATAGAATGTAAGAACTAATATGCAAAATATAGTGGAACATTTTTACAGGTAAGTACAGAGGCATCAGGAATGGGGGTAAGGAAACATAAGCTGTGATAGCTTCTATGTGGATGACACTCAGCTTTGTATTTCATTCTCCTTAGCTCAATCACTGTTGCTGGGTGAGTTATCCAACTTTCATAGGTTGGTGTGTGGATGATGACAAGGATTCATCTGTGAGATGCTTATACCT